TCCGACCCCGTTCCCAAGACTCGAGCAGCACCGTCACTCCCAGCAACAGGTAGCTCAGCGTTATCAGGTGCCCCATCTGCAAGGACGTCGTCTCTTTTTGTGTAATCGCATCGAAGACGGGTTCAGACTATAGATACGAGGTTAAGTGGTGACGTTCAGCCGATCTTTTCCGATTTCCATTTTATGCGTCACTCATGCTTCGCGTGGCAATTTCGCCACGTTGGAAAGTGCCTGAATGGATCGACACCTCCCAAAATGACTTAGATTAACGTTAGTGATGGGGAAACAAGAGCAACGAACCCCTTGTTCGACGTCCATGTGCATGTGACCGTGTCCCTGCACCCGTCCGTTGGCCCTGTAGATGTACCATCCGGAAAAGGGGATGAAGAAGGTGGTCACGTACGAGAAGTCCTTCGGCACCCCCAGTTGAAAGAAGGTGGCCAGATCCACCATGCCCGAAAAGACGACCGCCAACGAGAACGCCATGAATGTTGCATGCTCCCGGTTCACGAACTCCCCTTTCTCGTCCAGCCCTGCGCTGTACTCCCCTGTTTTTCGACGGAATGGACATCAGATAATTATTGTCAACCATCTTCCGAGATGTCATTTTTAGCATAATTTTTCCTCTCTTCGACGCTTGACGCCTTGGGTCTCAGCTCTCTCACGGATGTATTCATTCTTTAAATGAGGAAAATAGATGGATGACAGTGACTTGTGGAAATAAGATTGGAAATTGCTGTTTCATGTTGTAATCTTGAATGTTTTTTTCTTCATGCAGCATGAGACGACACATGTTTCCTTTGCGCTATGAATAGCAAATTATGATAAATGCAGCTGTTTTGCAGTAATCAAGTGCGATTTTCCGCCTCGCCAAAATGTCTCCATGTCTCCATTCAACTTGGTTATTCTGAATGAATATTCTCATATCCTTCGGCTTTAATCCTGCTGTATATTTAGACATTTCGCGACTTTGGCCGTTGTCTCTTTACTTTCAACGTAAAAATCAAATGAAAAGCTGAGAAGGAATCACTGCCTTACCGAAGAAATATATGATCCCAATGACGAACTTGGCGACGGGCTCGAAGGGGATCCGCTTTCCCCGGATGCAGTAGAAGGACGAGGCCCGGAAGGAGTCCGGTCCCTTGCGATAAAAGCGGGACAGCACCTTCCCCATCCACCAGAGGCCAGCCAGAGTCCATATGCAGCCGGCTGCAAGCTCGCCCACTGCCTTTCCGGGTGCCATCGTCTCCGTCGGTCGTACTGTG